TGAATTTTGTCAAATGTTTTTTCAGCATCTATTGAGATAATCATATGGTCTTTGCCCTTAAGTTTGTTGATGTGATGTATCACTATGCATCTGACAAGGGATTAATATCCAGAATATACATAGAATTCAAGCAATTATACAGTAAAAGTAAATAAATAAATAACCCAATTTTAAAATGGGCAAAGGAGCTGAATAGACATTTTTCAAAGGAAGACATACAAATGGCCAACAGATACATGAAAAAATGTTCAACATCACTAGTCATCAGGGAAATGCATATTAAAACTACATTGAGATACCACCTCACCCCGTTAGACTGTTTGTAATAAAAAAGATGGTGAATAACGAATGCTGTCAAGGGTGTGGAGAGAAGGGAACACACCTACACTGTTGGTGGGACTGTAAATTAGCACAACTATGAAAAACAGTATGGAAGTTTCTCAAACAACTACAGATAGATCTTCCATACAATCCAGCAATCCCTCTTCTGGGTATATCCCCAAAGGAATGGAAGTCATCATGTCAAAAGGGACACCTGTACTCCCATGTCCATCCTACCTCTGTTTACAATAGCCAAGACATGGAGCCAACCTAAATGTCCATCAATGGATGATTGGATAAGGAAACTGTGGTATATATATACCATGGAATACTACTCTGCCATCAAAAAAAATGAAATACTCCCATTTGCAACAACATGGATGAACCTGGAGAAACTTATGTTCAGTGAAATAAGCAAAGCACAGAGGGATAAATACTACATGTGCTCACTCTTATGTGGGAGCTAAGAGAGAAAGAAAGAAGCAAAGAAAGACCACAGTAGTGCATTGGTCTTACAGAGGGAGGGAACTTTCCTAGGGCGACAAAGTGGAGTGGGGGGGAGGAGGAGGAGGGGGAGGGAGGTTGGGAGATAATTGGGTGGGAGACACAGGGTTCAAAAGTAATTTCTGGTAATGGGTATGCGGCCAGTATGAATCTGGCCCTCACATCATGGGCACGAGGGGTGACAATTAGCTTTGTATCTCATGAATATTAATAATAAAAAAAAAGAAAGAAAGAAAAGCAACATGAATAACTGGAATGGTAACAGATGAGTTTCCAAGTGCATCAGAATGAGTAATAAAATCAAAATGAAATTATATTGGCATTCTTAAAAAAAATGTGCTCAGTATTCAATAGGAGCACTTTTATTTATTTATTTATTTATTCACTCATTCATTTATTTATTTTTTATTTTTCTGCAACAACCAAAAGCCATTCACCATTACACCTAGTATAAGGTGAATGACAATAATGGCCTAATATATATTATTGACATAAAGTAATAGTATTAGTATAATTTACTGTGGTCATAATTTGACTTATAGGGAGCCCCCAAAAGGAAAAAGAAATTACTTTAAGCATTTAACACATATTCTGTTTCAATATTCTCATGAAAAATCAGCTAGATAAAGTCAAAAACATGCCTGGCTTCTACAGCAATATAGAAATAAATAGAGATAGAGAAATGGCCATCACCTCTTTTTCGGCCTAGTCCTTAACTAAGGCTCCATCTTATATTACTTGCACTGTAAATAGTCAACATATTATGTGATCAAGGCAAAATCACAATGTTATATGGCCCTGTTCCCCCACTTTTAAGCCTCAAAGTTAACCATATCTTCTGACTGTAGTAAGTTTTTTTGATAGACAATATAGGAGTTTATACCCAGATTCAAGGAAGATCTGTCATGTGATACATACAATGAGTCCTTTATGACATGTTTATCCACAATCATTGACAATCCATTAACTACTGAATGGATCAATGGCAAAAATTTTAAATTAATTTGTGGACATTACATATGTAATACTTCTAAAGTAAAATTCAAAGGTGTCTGGGATAAGCTGGTATTTATACTGCTAAAATAACCAAGGGTATAATATTATCTCCGTCATTATAAACTAGTAATTATATCTAATGAGAAAAACTAAAAAGACATTTTTTGACAGTTAGAATGACGATCAAGCCAATAGGAAATCTGCAGTTATATGTTTAAAACTGGAAAACATGACTGATTCCTAAAAAGCAACCAAATATTTATTAAATTAAAAGAAAAATCTACTTGGGTAATCTACTCCATCCCCTCTACCACCTTCATTTCAATGGAAAACCTGAATTATGTTTAAAGGGTTTTAAAAGTCTTCTAAACTTAACAGGTCCTCAGCACACTCAGGAGATGCAACTAGAGGTCTGATAAAAATAAAAATGTAGCCAACAAATATGAAACTTTGATATCTCCTTATCCTGCTATAGCTGCTTCATTTGCTTCTTGTGCACTCTACAGCTAGGTGTAGTGGAATAGTCATGGAAAGATCATTCATGGGGTCATTTTAAACCTGTTATTCGGACATTGTACATGGCCTATGCAGAACATATTTCAGCAAAGAAAAAGTAATTATTAAATATCTCTAAGTAAGTTTTTATAAAAAGTAAACATCAGCTATTCAACCTCTTAAGCATGTCTTCAGTATTTCCTGTACCTACTGATCTTGATACTGAATTTTAATCAATTATTTTTTCAAATTAAAAACCAGCAGTAATTACTCTCAGGAGTAATATTCCTATTTTTACTTCAATAATTGTAATCCCATTGCTTTATGCCAGCTAAATCTCTTTTTTTAACTAACATTTCAGATACTGGCATGATTATTTAGGGATTCTCTACCTAAATGCTTGACATTTTTTCCAAGTGAACAAATATTTCAAGTCAACACCAAAAATGGTCAATTAATTGAAACACATCTGACTGGAAGTAAATTCTCTGAATAGAGTGATCTTGTTTTTTTTCAATGGCACATAATACATTTAAAAAGGAGAATAAAATTAACACTATGAAGTGTTTCTAGAGATAATTAGTGTTTTAGAGATAATTTAAATAAATAACTTATTTTAATGGGCTACTGGTGATAGAAAATAACTTTGTGAAGAAACTCAGTAAGAATAGCGAGTAATAAACCATTACAAAGTTTCTGTTTAGACTTATGACTTAAATTATGTCTTCATTGTGCTTGTTTTCCCTCAGACATAGAATCTTACCAATTACCATTCATTACTGAACTTAATTCCTAATGTATTGGAATTATTACCAGAAAAAAAATTTCTCATTCATTTCCCAAACACTGCAAAATAATTATGATTATATCAACTAATTCTAGGCATATTGTGAGGGTATTTCCATGTATAGCAGAGTTTTTATATTGCTGATCTGCCATGATCTCTTTTGAATACTGCCACATGAGCATTATGCATTTAAGCCTGTTTTTCATAATTCCAAATAGGTCTCTACTGCTCAAAGTTCTTTTTAATTCATTTAGTTGCTTGCTCATTAAATCCTATGTTGCATATTTTCACCATTTTTCCAAATCTCCAATTCTAAGCTGGCTGCCCTTTCCAAAGACAGAGAATTTTTTGTGTGTGTGTCCTTTTTGAGACCGGACGCACGGAATTTTATACACCATACTGATACTTTTAACTATATGATATAAGCTCCTTTTATCACTATCCTTTTCTTTATCCCAAAATATTTCTTTCTTATTACCAAACAGCCTATCTTTACCTGATTTTTACAGAAATTAGTTCTTCCTTTCCAGTGCTAACTTCTCAACTTGAGCTCATAAATCCATTCCTTGAAGTTTCTGTCTCCACCCCTCCACTGCCTCCTTCCCCCCTTCTTTCAATTGCATACAAGTGTTCCCTTGACTCTAATCCATCCAGCTAGTGACTTATTAATACCATTTTGTTATGGTGTTTTAAATCCTTCAAAGGTTTTCTAAAGTTTCTAGGTTATTCTAATATCTTGTTGAGGCATTCATGATACTCACCAAGCTGATCCCAAATGATTTTTCCATACTACTCCCTAGAGCAAAATTTTTGCTTTTGTTCGATTGTTTTGTTTTGTTTGTTTTGTTTGATTGATTGAAGGCTGATTGACTCCTTCTTCCCAGATATGGTTTAATAATTGCCTTCCCTGATTTTTAACAATGCTGTGATTTTCACTTAAATTACCTACATCTTTCTTCATCTGCCTGATTTCCAAGATTCAGCTCAAATTCTATTTTCTCTGTGAAGCTTCTCTTATAACCCTAGACCACATTGAATCTTCATTTTTCTGATTCTCTGCATATTTTATGACTCCTTGTTTAGCACTGAATTATAAAAATGTTTTAATTTACATTTGTCTTCATGTTTATTATACCTGTATCCTTTCCTTCAAACAACAACCTAAACCGCCAACCAACAAACCAACATTTACTGAGCACTCACTTGTCAGTCACTGTGCTGGATCACGGGTATATAAAAATAAGTAATATTTGTTTTATCTACACAGAACTCTTAAAATGATGCATCTCTAAGATAATAAAAATATTCATTGAATAGGTGAGTAAAGTATCACCAACAGATGTTATTAAAAGTAACCACTATTCCAAAGATACTGTAGACTTACCATGTATACAGATATATCACACAAAAGATCTTGCAAGAACTGAAAGATTTGTGTGATCTCAATCCCAGATGTTGATGATTTTCAGAGTCAAACCAACAAAAATTTATAAAATCATGTTTTCTCAGAAACACATTTCAGCATTTCTACTATTGCTAGTACATGTGAGAAGTAGGCAAAAACCTATGATTTGCAAGCACAGTGAACAATATATTATTATTACTGATATCAAAAGTATTCTGATTCCAAAAATGCATGTTACAAGAAGAAAACATAGATGTCAAAACTGGTAGGGCAAAGGGCATAAAGAAATATCATGATTTGTAAGAATGAATATGCTAACAATAAATAAAAAATTTTTTAAAACTGTATTAGCAAAGAAACAAAACAGAACAATAACTTGAGACACATTCACATCTCTGTACATGCTGGTAGTAATACTAATTAAACACATTCAACTTAATGCTGTCCCATTATTTTCAAAGCATGTATCTTAAAACTCTATACTGTACATACCTGTCCAGTCTCCTACTATTTTAAGATGAATCCCAAATATTTCTTTGGTTTCAGTAGGACACTAAAAAACAAACAAACAAACAAAAAACAACTAGAATCAATTCTGATTAATAATTATGTATTACCAGGCTATGATTCAATTATAACTTTTATTCTTATAGCAAGTCCTCTAAATCAATAGATAACAGGAAGGAACAGACTAAAATCTATATAGATCCTCATAAATGGAGGAAAAAAAGCCATGTCAACCAGTCAATAACACAATCTACATTACTTTAAAAACCTATAAATATTTATATAAAATAATAAAATCCACACAATCTAAAACTGCTAGTATATTGCATTTATGTACAAATACTGCTAAAACTTCTTCTGAGTTAAAATATATGAGGATCTAGATCTTAATCACAAAGGAAGAAATGAAGACTAATAATTTTTGTCATTTTCTCCCTAGATATTATTATATACTTCACATCCTAACCAATTCCAAATAAAAACATTCTCAATGTGACATAAATTTGTCACGCCCAACAATTATGTTCCTACAGAAATGATTCTCTTTTATTCTCTCCCTTAATTCTCAAAAGAAATCTGTAGTGAACTGGTAAGGGGACTTAGGGAGGAGGATAAATTGTGGGACTGGAGGTAAGAAAAAGTGTCTGTGATCCCAAATTTAGGAAATCTAGACAGCACCCAGGTACTCAAAATGAGACAATGAATTTTAGTTCACAATAAGAAATGAAGAATTCCTTCTTGTTTTACAGATTCCTAATTCCTTATCCACAATTTCAAAATTCAAAAGTTTTGAATAAGTTTTTTCATAACTCATTTGGTAGAACTATCTGACTTGAATTGAGGGAGGCTAATGATGGGAGGGTATTATACAGAACTATTGTCCTGCAGAATTATCAACTTGTTTGAGAATGTTCATTAACATCCTGTTGGAGATATTAAGTAAGGTATGGAATATGCATAGCTTTTAAAGTTCATCAAATTCTGAATTCTGAAAGTTTATCTAACTTAAGAGTTATGGATAAAAGATCATCCAGCGTTTATCAAGTACCACATACCAAGGGCAGAGCTAAGTACTTTATTTCTACAATCTCAAAATAACATTGCAGAGTAGTCTTTTATATAAAAGAAAATTGAGTAATTCAAATTTAAAGTTATCAATATGCCCATGGTCAAACAACTAGTAAAAAGATAAGACAGAATTTGGATCCAGGTCTATGAAACTACATAGTCTCCATTAAAGCAAAGAATGGAAAATGGGTGTGGGCTGCATAAGAAATCAAATGGAGGAGAAAGAGATATTGTTCAAGCTTAGCAGAGTCTGTGTATAACAGTATGAATTAAGGGGAAAAGGGTATAAGGTTAAGGCACATATGAAAGAAAATGGCAGTGCTTAAGGCACATATGAAAGAAAATGGCAGTGCTTCTGAAGGTCACCTTGATTAGAGATTGTGTTACATACAGCAAGTCTAAAACCTCAGAGCTCACTGTGTGTACCAATTAATGTAGGTCTTGTAGGAATGCTCTAAGAGGAGATAAAGGAAGATAAAGATACCAGGAAGATATGTTAACAACTGATCAGTCAAAGAGGAAAGGTAGCTTGAAAATCAGTGAAAACACTAAATTAAAATGTAGGTATTAATCATTTATACATAATAAATTAAAAACAAACTAAAACCACATGATGTAAGTTGAAGGACGGGAATTAATGTAACATGGAATTTCCGAACTACTACTCTACAATCAGTGTTTCTAATAGGATCATTACTGCTAACAGCAGTATAAAATACTCAAATAAATTTATATATTTAAAAATTATATTGTTTTAACATTATTTGCACTATGACTGTGACATTACTTCGTTTATAATTGTGAGATGTTATTTCATTTACATTGTGGTTTTTAATTGTGGTTTTTAACTCAGAGCAGTCAGTTTTGTTATTAGTAAATCTTCAAATAAGAGATATTGTCTGTTAAAACCACCCACCATTTTCACTTCATAGTATTTAAGGTTGGCCAGAGCTTCTGGGTAACAAAAGTTGGAGCTCTCAGAAAGCACGAAGCCCAGCAGAACTCTGAGTTACAAATCTGATCCTCCACATGCTTCTTGATGTTTCCTTTATTGTTAACTAGTTCTTAGGTTACGAAAAGATTATCTAAGCCAAGAAGATATCGTAATGGGAAGCAAAAAAAAGTTGGTCTTTTTACGTCTGAGTACACATCTGGATTGATTTAATCTCATAATGCATTCTATAAGAAAATATACGTTTTGCCAAATGTTCATATCTCTGTTCTATTCTTTCAGTGCAGACATTGTAAAATGTGATTACATATGATGTTTAATATCTCCTTGGGTATGACTGAGTAAACCTCCCTAAGTGTTGGCCAAATGTATCAACATAGCTTCAAAAGCTGATCTGGTTTTGAATAGATAAAACACAATATTGTTTCTCTCAACCTCTTGGGAATGATACCTTTATAAGTCACTGATACTTCTCAAACTAGCTAGAATTTAAGAAGACAGACTTCAACATGGTCTTTATTTAAGCATACCTCCTCATATTTGAAGGGGTCCTTCACAGAATAACATAAAGAATGACTTCAGCACACATGATTTGAGAAATGAATGAAGATCTCAGAATCACATTTTAGTATCTTTGAACAAATAATATTTAAATTCGCTAATGTTTCCTAAAGCACAATGATTCTTAAATGGTTCTTCACTGTCTTTTTAATAGTTTTAGAAAATTTATTAAAGGGAAGAGATAATAAAAGTATTGAGATATATATTTAAATTCGCTAATGTTTCCTAAAGCACAATGATTCTTAAATGGTTCTTCACTGTCTTTTTAGTAGTTTTAGAAAATTTATTAAAGGGAAGAGATAATAAAAGTATTGAGAGAGATATATATATATATATGTCTATATTGTTTCTCCTAGAATATGCTAATGACAATTTTTCAGTTAAAAAACTTGCAGAATAATATGTTTGGTTAAGCTCACATTAAAATAAAAAGAGATATTGATTCTTTTCTCTATATATGGAAAAAAGTTGAAGAGAATATATAATAAGTTATTAGAAATATTAACTCCTGAGAAGTAGAATTGAAGACAGAGAAAATGAGAACTCTCATAATTATTTCATACACATCTACATTTTTATTATAAGCCTTTGCTATGTTTATAATTTGATGGAATTTTAGACGTTAATATTACATTTTAATTTAAATGTAAACATTAAAACATTGCTGAGTCTTAACTTTAGTTTTCTATATTTAGAGAATGCAGTTTGGCTCATGTTGACCTAAATGTAAATAACAGAATACATGTAACCTAAATTTAAGGACAAGAAAAATAAAAAGTGGCAGATTTTGACTTTAACAACAAACCTGTATGTATACTTTGAAATCTTGGAAAAAAATATAACCTTCCTTTTCAATTATTTGTTCAGTATAGCACTATGTTTTTAAAGTGTACAAATGACTAATGCTTTTATAACAGTCTCACAAAAATATAAAAAGAAATTCTGTAACTCATCTTATGTTTGGGAATTAATGTAAAAATGATGTCACTGCACAAAGATTTATTCAACATGGGAAAGAAATGCAAAAGCTGAATTTTTTTTTTTGTTTCTTTCTTTTAAAATCAGGAGCCTTGCAAAAATAGATAAAAATGATTCTAAAATAATAGCACCTAAATTTTCAACTAACTTGATTTGTGAAACCAGAGAAAATAATCACAGAATATAATGTTCTTTAATCATTTTTATCAGGTCTTCATTTTCACATTGTCTACTGTCTGCTAGACAGTTCTACCTGGAATTCACTCTAAATTTAATATATTTAAAATAGCTGTTATCTTACTTCCGAAATCATCTTCTCCTTCTGATTTCCCTATATCTGGAAATGGAACCTACCTCTTCCTCAAAACAGGGACTTAAATCTCGGGGTAATGTTACTTATTTTTCTTGCTGCCAGCATTCAATCAATTTTCAAGTCCTTTCAAGTAGTCATTCCAAAGAAAGTGTCTGATCACAGCAATGTCTTATTGATTTACCTTTTGTGTCTCCCTATGGAAAAATACCCATATTCTTTCTTTCCTGTGGCCTATGACCAAACACATCTGTTCCAAATTCTTTCCAGTTTTGTATTCCATGTTTCTCCTTTATACACTACAATCCAGCTAAACCAACATTTATCAACTAATACATTTTCCTGTCCCTTCGTCTCCCCACTTACTAGTCTGCTGGTTTAAAATGACTTCATTTCCATTTCTCACATTGAATACTAGCAACTTTTCAAGGTTTATCTCAAATGCCACCATTTCATGAAAACATGGTGATTTTTTCCTGCCAAGAAAATTCTTCACTTCCTTCAAATTATTTGTATGACTTTTATTCTCCTTATTATAATCTACCTCTTTATTTTTGTGTAAATTTTTTTCTGTATTAATAGACTATAAATGCCTTGAGATCAAAAACTATTTCTGGATCATTATTATATATTCCATAGCACCTAAGATACAGAGGGTATCAGTTGAATAAATAAATACCTGTTGAATAAAATAAATATCCATTGAATAAAACATTGGAGAACAAACCTGAAAATAAATAACAGCATCAAAGGTGGGCAAATTTTCTATAATTTATCTATACACTCAACAAATATTTATTGAGTGTTCAAAATGTTCCAGAAACTATGCTAGGGATTCATGTTATTTCACAAATGAGGATTGTTCTAACAGTCTGGTCAGAGATAATAAGCCAGAAGCACAGAATCCATCACAATTAATGCAACATCATGGCAGTAAACATTTTGACAAATATAAAATTTTAATGCTTACATGCTTACCTAAAAGAAAAAATGTTTACTTGTATATTTGAATGAAAAAAAAATTTTCTCAGTATTAAACAGAAAGATCCTGGAAGAGTATTAAGAAGAATTTTTATTAACTTGGATTGAATGTATGCATTTATATCAATTCTCTCAGGAAAACTAAACTAAAAAATGACCATTTAGGGATATAAAAATACAAGCCACAATGGCAAAG